TAATGTCATGGGAGAGACAAAAGGTGGTTAAAAAACACCCTAAATACATTTAGAATTACAAATGAACTTTCTTCTGTCGATTCTTGTTTTTTTATATCATAATTCCAACCCTCTTCCTATATCCGGGCTTGGGACCGGCAAAAGTGACCCCAAAGAGACACTCTGGCGGAATTACTTATTCTTAAAAACTGTCATACTTGGCGGGGTTTTTGGCAATAAGCCAGGGCAGGAACAGCCAGTGGTGGCTTCGCGCATGCGCAATTAATTTGCAGTCTGGATGCGGAAAGGTGAAGATTTCTTGCTCTGACTGCAGCTGGGCGGGGTTGCTGCATGAGGACTGTCCGCCTGTGAATGCTTTGGGACGGGACAGGACGGGAGCCCACGGTAGCACCCGCTGCTCGGTGAGGAGAGTAAGAACGATACGTGCTTCCACGTCAGAGTCTCCAAAAGTCTCCAATAACACTAGAAAAAGTCGCTAGATTCGTCGCTAGTCGCTTTTTTGAAAACGAGTCGCCAGAGAGGTCTAAAAACTCGCTAAATATAGCGACAAAGTCGCTAAGTTGGCAACACTGTGCTAAACTTCGATTCGAACAGAGCGCGCTGCTATATCCTTCAACAGCACAAGAAAGCGCCACATGGGCCAGTTATCAGATTTCTGCTCTAATTGCTAAAAGTGGAAGAGCCTTTGCTACTGGAGAGTTCGTCAAGGAATGTCTTGCAGTGGCTGCAGAAGCAGTTTGTCCTTCTCAGGTACGAATGTTCTCACAAATTAGCCTGTCAAGAAATACTGTCACATGGCTTCTGCATGGCTCAAGACATCAGCGAGCAAATCAAGACAAAGGCAAGTGCGTTCTCTGCCTATCTTGAAAAACTTCTGAAAAATAAGGACCAGTTTCATATCTCTCATTAGGTCACGGACAATGCAACCGAATGGTTTTATTATTGCTTACAGCTTGACTAGTGTGTCTCGCATTGAACTGTATTGTACATTGAACACTTGCAGATTGTTTGTTTTTATTGTAATAAGTTCATTAAAATGCAAAACTTTACAAATAAAATTGCATTAGTTAATCAGATTAAAGTTGTTTTATATTTATTTTAAATATTATGAAATAAATAAGGGTGAAACCATAGCAACTTTAATGTAATGCAGTTTGATATATGATGCAAAATTTACTTTTGGCCCACGGCACCTCAGTCAAGTTTGATTTTTGGCCCTTCATAGGAAAAAGTTTGGGCACCCCTGCCTTAGGGCTTACACTGAAGCCTGCCCCTGAGACACCGAGAGAGACCTGAGAGATGCCCCGACTTCTGCCCCATTCCAAAAGATTGCAGACAGGGCTTCTTCTCTCCATATCCCAAAAAAGAAGGGGCCATCTACTCCTGTTTAAGGTCCCACCCAACCCCTTTGATCGCCTATGGTCCCTGCTCAGCGGTTGCAGGCAGTTTCCCTGACTTGTGCTCAGTGGTCGCTTGTGGTTCTCCTGGCTCCTGTTCGGCAGTTGCCTTTGGTCCCTCCTGAGGTGACTTGTTGGTCACCTTCTGTCCCTCCTGCGACAACTTGTCGGTTGCCTGTGGTTCCCCCTTCTCCATCTCGTAGAACTCCTGCGCCTCCGCCTGCTGTTGCTGCATGGTCACCTGCTGCAGCTCTGTCTTCCTCCTTGCTTCCTCTGGCGGTCCCTCCACCTTCTTCCCCCTCTGGTAGTACTTTTGACTCCTGGCTCCCAGTCGGCAATGGACCTTCCAGCTCTTGCCTCATGGTCGCCGGTGGCCCCATCTGTTTCTGCCTTATTCCCGCCTGGGTCCCCTCCAGCTCCCGAATTTCTCCAACCCTTTGCATCACTGTCCCCTGGTTTTGGTCCTTTTGGTTCAGTCCCCCCTGTTGGTGTTCCCCTCCTTTCAGCTAGTGTCGTGGTTGCTATGTTCGTGCTTGTTTTTCGTGCCTTTCTTGTTCCTGTTGTCCAGCTGATGATTTTGCTTTTATCTTTCTCCAGGTGGTGTTGTCAGGTCTTTCCCTGAGTCCCGCTGCATCCCCTGTCATGGCTCCCCTGATGCTGTTAGGCAGGCCCGGTGTGAGTGCCTTTGGGGGCGGGGTCCTGTAATGCCCTGATTGTTCCGATCCCCTTGTGTGCCATGCCCCCTCGTTTACCTCATGTGGAATCCTTCTGGCTACCAGCTGTCTCTAGTCTTGTCTAACTGATTCTGTGTATTTAAGTGTTTTCCTCTGAGTCGTTCCCAAGTCTGGTCATTACCGTTGTACTGTTGTAAGTGCCCTGTGTTCTGGAGTGTTCCATCTTGTAAATAAACCCTGTGTTTTCGCCCAATCTCTGAGACTCCTGACCCTGTTTCTGCGGTCCTGCGAGCTTGCCCGCATGACACCTGCCTTGTGCCCTATGCTTCCTTTGATAGGTGCCAGGTGCACCATGGTGTGTGGATGAATGGAATTTTTTCATACATTGATACTTTTTTATAAAAAAAATTTAAAAACTTGCACATATACTACATAGAAAATGTCTACTTACTTTTCTTTTTTGGCCAACCCTATAATTAAAAAAAGATTCAATTAACCATTTTGTAGCTCAAAATAGTATGACATCAACATGGAGTTTATTGAAATTGCCAGGTTATAAGTAATGAGTAAGGGTAACGAGTAATGAGAAGAAATAATTACTTGCATGTTTATAGTCATTATGTAATAATGATTACTGACAGTGACAGTTTTCTGTATTACATAGACATACATGCTACATTAGTGAGGATGTGTTTACAGGTGCATCACAATAAATTAAAATATCATCAAAAAGTTCATTTATTTTCAAAAACTGAAACCCATATACAGTGGTACCTCGGTTCTCGAACTTAATCCGTTCCGGACTCCGGATCGAATCCTAAAAAGTTTGAGTTCTGATCGAATTTTTCCCATAAGAAATAATGGAAAACCAATTAATTGGTTCCCGGCCCCCCAAAATTACACTTAAATATGTGTTTTTTTTTGTTTAGCATTTAAACACAAAATGAACAGGATAAAACAAGCAGAGCATTTTTTTCTTAATGGCTTCCAAACTGATAAAGATCTTATCCCAACATTACCCCTGTCCTGCCCCGATTGTCCGCTCCTTCCGTATGCCACGCCCCCTCGTTAACCTCCTGTGGGATCCCCATGTGATTAGCTGTTTCTGGTTGTTATCATTATTCCTCTGTATTAAGTTGTTTCAGTTTGTTTCCCCAGTCCAATCATTGGGTGCGTTCGACTTGGTTACAGCGCTGGCTTAAAGCAACGTATTCTTATCCTGATGCAATGCATTACGGTTAGATGCATTGCGACCTCTCACCCGGCGGCACAAACTGGAACCGCCTCCGTGACTACACACCTTTGAACTTATTGGCTGAAGAGTTTAATTACACGCATGACGTTTGTATCCCAGGCACTTCCGATGCGTAATCTGCTATTTCTCCCGAATATCACGTAAAGCAGTGAGAACTGCTTTTCAGTTAATTTCCCTGGTAAAATAAAGTTTAAATAAATGACATAAATGCTCTAATAGTACACGTAAGTTAGTTTTTTATTTATTGTTAGTTACTGTAATGTTGCGCTGCTTTATTTGTGAAGAAGGCATTCAAGTAAGAATTGCATTGTAGTCTGTACATGACATAAAAAGTTTGAATCCGGTCCATTGTTTATTTTTATTATTACTCTATATTCGTTAATTTGTTCGTGAATAGCAAACTTTTAGCTTGTAACATTTGTACAACTATTACGGAACTTTTTGGTGAGCAATGGCTAACAAAATTATATAAAGTACAGTGTATTACCTGATACAGTATTTTCAATAAAATAGCATTATCACCAACAAGTGCTGCTACTACAGCAAATGCGAGGCTGACACTGAAGCGTTACCTTTTGTTTCCGCTCAGAGACGTGCCGTGTGACTAATTTCCTGGCGCGGACAATTTACTGTATAATTGGTCAGCGTTCACGGTTCGACTTCTGATATTCCGATCGAGTTCTAGGTCAAACTGGTTTGTTCGACTTTCAGGAAATTCGAGTTCTAGTGAGTTTGAGAACCGAGGTACCACTGTATTATATAGATTTATTACACACATTTTGATTATTATGGCTTACAGCTAATGAAAACCCAAAATTCAGTATCTCAGCTACAAATCAGCATCAATATTGTGACAAAGTTCAATATTGTAGACTTGTGGTGCCACACTCCAATCAGCTAATTAACTCAAAACACCTGCAAAGGTTTCCTGAGCCTTTAAATGGTCTCTCAGTCTGCTTCAGTAGGCTACACAATCATAGGGAAGACTGCTAACTTGACAGCTGTCCAGAAGACAGTCATTGACATCCTGCATAATAAACCACAAAAATTGAGTGGAAGGAAAAAAATGTGGCAGAAAAAGATGCACAAGCAAGAAGGATAACCGCAACCTTGACATGGTTGTGAAGCACAAGGAGTGGACTGCGGCTAGAGTAAGTATTTCAACAGCCACCACACACAGATGTATCCAGGACATGGGCTACAACTGTTTCATTCCTTGTGTGAAGCTACTCCAGAACCTGAGACAACGTCAGAAGCGTCTTACCTGGGCTAAGGAGAGAACGGACTGGACTGTTTCTCAGGGGTCCAAAGTCCTCTTTTCAGATGAAAGTAAATTTTGCATCAAGGTCCCAAGATTGGACAGGCATAGATTCCAAGTTGCTTAAGGTCAAATGTGAAGTTTCCAAAGTCAGTGGTTATTTGGGGAGCCATGTCATCTGCTGGTGTTGGTCCACTGTGTTTTATCAAGTCCAAAGTCAGAGCAGCCGTCTACCTGGAAATTTTAGAGCACTTGCTACTTCCCTCTGTTGACAAGCTTTATGGAGATGCTGATTTCATTTTCCAGCAGGACTTGGCACCTGCCCGCACTGCCAAAAGTACAAATACCTGGTTTAATGACCATGGTATCACTGTGTTTGACTGGCCTAAACCCCATAGACAATCTATGGGGTATTTTGAAGAGGAAGATGAGAGACACATGACACAACAATGCAGACGAGCTGAAGGCCACTACCAAAGCATCCTGGGCTTCCATAACAACTCAGAAGTGCCACAGACTGATCACCTCCATGCCACGCCGTATTGAAGCAGTAATTCATGCAAAAGGAGCTCCAACCAAGTACTGAGTGTGTACATGGACATACTTTTCAGTAGGCCAACATTTCTGCATTAAAAAATAATTTTTGTATTGGTGTTATGTAATATTACAATTTTCTGAGATACTGAATTTTGAGTTTTCATTAGTTGTAAGCCATAATTATCAAAATGAAAAAAAAAACCACTTAAAATATATCACTCTGTGTAATAAATCTATATAATATATGGGGTTCACTTTTTGAATTGAATTACTGAAATAAATGAACTTTTCAATGATATTCTAATTTATTGAGATGCATATGTATATCATCTCCATTCCTTTGTGATAATCAGAGCTCCCTATTACAGCCTCAGTGCCCCCTACTGGCCAGGAGGCCATTACAGTTTTACACCACTGTAACAGCATCATAAAGGAAGAACAAAAAAGAAAAGCTCAAAAGAATTAAAGCAGTAGTGTTATGGAAGGTTACATCCTGAGTCACAGCTATAGTGAATAAATAACCATGTGGTTAAAAATGTAATATTCGTCCAGGTTTAGTTCTGAGCATGTGAAGATGTAAACAAAGACTGGAAAGCTGCCAGAATGCTGAAAAGTTCCAGTACATATATTCAACTTTATGGTAAGTTATGCATCACATCTTTGGTATACTTACAGTATGCAGACATCTCTATAACAAACCAGCTAAATAGGAAGATAGACCCAGAAATCAGGACAATCAGCCGTAGATCCACTGGCTGTTTTCCTGTGTCTGAAATGACATCATCACAAAAATCATTGAGAGCTGAGGTCAGTAAATGAACAGTACAGTAAGTGACAGATATTTAATCACAAGAATCTATATATTTCCTAAAGAGTCTGCACAATTTAGTCGCATTGTTATGTTTACATAGTACAAAGTAAAATTGCAGGAGAAACATCTGAAATTTATAGTGTATTTACCTGCTTTGAGTTTTAATGCTACAGCCAGGGAAACAGAATTCAGGAGAGGGAGACCAAAAGCCCCTGAGAAATATATATATTTACGGGGTTTGGCTGAAAAGTAGATAGAAAAGCATTAGACATACAGCTACATACAGCGCTGTGACAAAGTATTTCCCTCTATTTTTTCTTATGCATAACACTTAAATGTGTCTGATAACCAAACAAATCTAGTATAATACAAAAAGCATCGTAAGTACACAGCACAGTTTTTAAATGATCATTTGATTCACTGAATGAAGTGGGAAAACATTAAACAGACAAGTAAATATTCCCAACACCCATACCACCCATGTGACAATGTACTGTAATTTTCCCCCCTTTTGCTATGCTGTGGAGAAATTTTGGCCCAATCTTCTCTGCAGAATTGTTTTAATTGAGCGATATTAGACAGTTTTCAAATATAAACAATGCATTTAAGACCACAATCCCCCCAAATATCTCAATGAGGTTCAAGTAATGACTTTGACTAGGCCTCTCCAAAACCTTAATTTTGTTCTGTTTTTCAGCCATTCAGAGGTGGACTTGTCTTGTGCTTCAGATTTGTCCTGCTGCATAACCCAATTGCACATGACCTTCAGATCACAGACTGATGACCAGACATTCTCCTTCAGTACTTTCTGGCAGACAGCCACAATATTGCCCTGCTAAGCACACTCTGCAATACTGCACTGCTGCATCCCTCAATTGCAGCAAGTCGCCCAAGCCGTGCAGCAGCAAAGCATCCCCACAGCATCACACTGCCTCCACCATGTCTGACTGTGGCCATGATGTTCTTTGTGTGGAAGATGTGTTACTGTAGCTTTATGCCAGATGTAGCAGGACCCATGTCTTCCAAATAGCTCCACTTCTGACTCATCAGGCCACAGAATATCCTCCCAAAAGTGTTGGGGGTGATCGAGGTGCTTTTTGGCAAATGTTAGAGGAGCCTCCATGTTCCTCTTATTTAGCTGTGGTTTCTCCTTGCATCTCTCCCATAGATACCATTATTCCCCAGTGTCTTTCTAATCATGGAATCAGACTTTAATTGATCTGAAAGAAGCCTACAGTTCCCTAAATCTTTGTCTGAGGTCTGCTGTAGCTTCCCTGATGAGTTTGCTATGGAGTCCTGGAGTAATTCTGCTAGGCTGGCCACTCCCGGGCAGATTTGCGCACAGTTCAAAGTTTTTTTCTATATTTGGAGATGACGGCTTTCCTGGTGACTCACTGCACTCCAAGGGTTTTACAGAGTGTTTGTACCCCTTTCCTGACTGATATATTTCAGCGATTTTCTTTCTCAGGTCTTCAGGAAGTTCTTCTGATTGAGACATAGCCTGCTGCATCTTGAGACCCCTTATCCAGCTCCACATTGCTGCAATGGTTCTATTTAAGTGACGTGTAGGTTCATCAGGGTTGGCAGCAATCAAGCTTGGGTGTGTCTAGTTTAATTTAACCTATTATCATTTAGATTTGTTTCACTGGTTCATTGAGTGACTAATTACTTTGTCGCATGTGTGTTGGTGAATTTTTTCCTTCAAAGAATCAAATCATTTAAAAACTTATTCAGGTTGTCCTTAGTATCATCCTAAATTTGTTTGGGGGTCAGAAACTATTAAGTATTATACTTAAGAAAAAATTGAAGGGATTGGGATCGGAATGCTTTATCACATATTCAAATAGCCATCAGTCTGTCTTAGGGTTATTTCATTAATTAATAAAAAAATTAAAAATAGTAATATTTTATTTAAAATATAAAAAAGTAATTATGAAACAAAATATTGAAATAACTTTTCAATAAAATGGTTGTACAAAATCATTTTAAAGTAAAACAAATATTTACCAAGTAAATGTTCCCGATGCCAGAACAGAAAGAGCAATGTGACAGTCAGAATGTAGATGAACACAAACTCACAGATCTTTACAGGTCGTCCTGTGGTCAGAATGAGTTGCAGTTAATTTTAGTTTTTATTACAAAAAAGGTTATTCATAAAATAAACAGCTTTCTGTTCCTCTAAAATCAGTAAATACATCTCTAAGACACGTAGAACAAATTAAATAACAAAATCACTCCATCACTGCATGTGTCCATTTTACAGCTTATACTGTACAGAATGTATTACTGTCTATTTCATATTGATTATATCAAAGTATATGCCTTTATTAGTAAGGTGTAATTAAATAATGACTTGATACTAGAAATTGTTACATTGCATTATTATTTACTGCATCCCAAAAAAATCAAGTTTTTAAAAATTTTACAAACATTTTACAGGTTTATAAATATTTTACTGGTTAAGAGCTTTCCTTACCTTTGTCATTTTCTAGAATCACACTTAGATACAGGAAATTTAATATTAAATAAAGCATGAAAAAAATCCCCAAAAGGATTTTCTGAGCAATATCTGAAAAGCAATAAAACATGAAAAACAGATTAAAAAAACACAAATTAAACAGGCCCCATTAAACATTGCCACTCTGCTTTTGGCTGTTATATGTTTGAGGGGTGGGCACTTACAGGGGGTGGACAAAATATGAGAAACATAAGTATATTCATTTCAGGTTTTCAGGTAGGGTTATCACTATCGGTTGTATCTATAATTGAGTAATCTGCCGATTAATCAGACAATTCATCAAGTAATCATTTATAATGATATACAGTAAAACCGGTCTAAGTCGACACTTGCGGGACCATCTTAAAAGTGACGACTTAGAGAATTGACGAGATACACCTAAGTTGACACTTTGGCGACTTATGTCTATCTCGCCGTTTTGCCGACTAGTAAATATAACACCATACCTCTACTACACCGCACTATACACGCGAGACTTAAGACCAGGGAGCGACTAGTGCTATAGGTGGGGATTCCCCGTTTCTACATCGCCATGGTGACAAGCAGGCGGTGAGAAGCAGGCGGCGGGAATGCAGC